TATATATATATATATATAAGGAAACGTAGATAAACCCTAAACGCTAATGAGCAAAAGTAGATAAACCCTAAACCCTAATATGTAGAGGGAGACAAACCCTAAACCCTAAAGAGGAAAAGGAGACATAAATAATACAGACACTTAGTGCTGCATAGTAGGCTTTTGTATTTGTCTCTCCAAAGGGCCTTGAGGTGTATATACACCTGGATGCACCGCCGCATAACAGCTTCCTGCTGCTGCTGCTGCTGCTGCAAACAAAGCTGCATCAGCACCAATAGCAGCAGGAGCAGCTGCTGCTGCTGCAGCGTTGCATGCAAGGAGGCTATTGTCCTCTTTACTATTACGGCCAACACAGCCCAATAACTGCCTGTTGCTGCTGCTGCTGCTGTTGCTGCTGCTGCTACACCTAGTAGCAGCAGCAGCAGCTTCGAACTTCGCAGCAACACGTCTGGCACGCTGCAGCAGCAGCAGCAGCAACAGCAGCAACAGCAGCAGCTGCTGCTGCTGCTGGAGTGGCTGGATAAAGGAAGAAAATGCATGTAAAGAAGAAAGTAGTTAATTAATTAATTAAATTAATTAATTAAATGCATGCATGCATGCAATAAACTTTGTCATTAAACCCTAATTTTTAAGGGCTGACTGTATGCATGCAACTAAACCCTAAACCCTAAACCCTAATTTTTTTTGGACAATTTATGCAGATTGTCTAAGGAAGGCAAGAGCATAAGGCTTATTCTGTAGACGAGCAGCAAGAGCCTCTAGTGTACCTGCAGGTAGCTGAGGATTTTTTGTCATTTGCTGCAGCAGCTGCTGCGCTGCTGCTGTTAGGTCTGTACCTAACCTTCTTACTGCACCAGGGAAGGAAGCCTCGCATGCACAGGCCTGGTAACACAACAGCACAATATATTATTTATATTATTTATTTATTCATTATTTATTATTTATATTATTTATTTTACTTATTATTATTTTTAACAGCTAGCTAGCTAGCTAGCTAGCTAGCTACCTAGCTACCTAGCTACCTACCCAGCTGCCCACCCAGCTACCTACCCAGCTACCCACCCACCCACGGACCCACCCACCCAGCTAGCTAGCTAGCTAGCTAGCTAAATAAATAAATAAATAAATAAATAAATAAATAAGACTTACAAACATGAATTGTTGTGCATTTTGTAGTACATGATCAGGCTGAGTAGCAGCAAGATGAAGGAGAGCCTTAAGAACAGTTTTGCTTTCTTCTCTGTCTGCCTCCAAGGGTAAATGATTAATAAATACTCTTATTATATCCCCCATAGGAAGCCCCGTACTTGGTGCATGCAACAACATTGACGCAACAGCTGAGCATGCATTGTCTACTGTGCTTTGTTCTGATTTATTCAAGTCCTGAATTATATATATACACACACAAACCCTAAACCCTAAACCCTAAACCCTAAACCCTAAACCCTAAACCCTAAAGCTCTTAAGGGAAATGTCATCATCCTCTCTGTATTTTATGGTTGATATAAACTGGTATGCACTCAATGCAGCAACACCAACCGCAGCAACAGCAACAGCAGCAGCAGCAACAGCAGCAGCAGCAGCAGCAGCAGCAGGAGCAGCAGCAGCAGGAGGGACTTACATCACGAGATCTGAAGATAGGATGCATAAGCTGAAGGAATTCTAATGTCTTGCTGTTAACATCAGGAGATGATCCAGCAACCTATATACAACACAGACACCAGTACATAACAATGCAGCAGCAGCAGCAGCAGCAGCAGCAGCAACAGCAGCAACAGCAACAGGAGTGCAGTAGGAGTCTCTACGCAAGCAGTAGTAACACTGCTTCTCTGTAAAGCCGCCCTCACAACCATTACCCGACCAGCACCAGCACCATCACCACCACCACGAGAAGCAGCAGCACCAGCAGCAGCAGCAGCAGCAGGAGCAGCAGCAGGAGTTAGCGTACCTCATAGATAACACTAAGACAGAAGCATGCATTACGTCTACAATCTTCATCCTCATCTTGTGCTATGCCATTCCCTACGGCCGTCAATACTGCAGGAACGCTTGCATAAGGAATTGCTGCTGATTGCATCTCCCTAAATACCTATAAGCAGCAGCAACAGCAGCAGCAGCAGCAGCAGCAGCAGCAGCAGCAGCAGCAATATTTGCAGCAATAGTAGCAGCAATAGTAGCAGCAATAGTAGCAGGGAGAAGGATATATAAGGTTCAGTTGCTTATACCAGACACGCATGCAATCAGCAGCAACAGCAGCAACAGCAAAACCACAACCCCACAACTGCAGCAGCAACTACAACAACAACATCGCAGCAGCAGCAGCAACAGCAGCAACAGCAGCAGCAGCGTACCTCAGCGAAGCAGCCTAGACCAATAGCAGCATATATCTTTGAGTGTTTATGCGCAGCTAAGGCAAGAATATGCGGATGTAGATCAGCATAAGCAGCACAGAAGCAATCCATGTTGCAATTTGCTGCTACTGCTGCTGCTGCTGATTGATCTCCTGCTGCTGCACCTGCTGCTGCTGTTAATGCTGCTGTACCCTGTGCTGCTGCACTAGCAAATGCTGCTAAAAATGCAACCAATCCTTCAAATAAATACTCCTCTTCTTGACGAGAATCGTCCTCCTGTATACACCAAACACTAAACCCTAAACCCTAAACCCTAAACCCTAGATGAAGAAACAATACAGAACGAATCACACAATTCATGCATACACAGCAACAGCAGCAGCAGCAAGAGCAGCAGCACCAACAACAGATACTGCTGCAGCAGCAGAACTAGTACCAAGACACATCCGCATGCACCGTCAGAAGCACACCAACAGCAGCAGCACGCAACACCACCACCATCACCACCACCAACAACAACAACAGCAGCAGCAGCAGCAGCAGATTGTTTGGGTGTCTACGGACCTCATCTACATCTTGATTTAATTGGCATATATGTGTACCACGCAGCAAGTTGCTGCACTGCTGCAGCAAACTTTCCCGCTGCTCTTTGCTAAAGAAGGCAGCGGGCCCCACACCCTCCAATACGATCCCCATTGCTGATAAAGCGTCTCCAACTGTCTCCTTATCTACATCCTGCAGCAGCAACAGCAGCAGCAACAGCAGCAGCAACAGCAGCAGCAACAGCAGCAGCACATAAATCAACATGCAGAGGGATAATAGCAGTATCTACTGCAGCAAGGGCAGAAACAGCCATGGAAGACAGCCTGCCGTTATACACAACCAGCAACAGCAGCAACAGCAGCAACAGAAACAGAAACAGCAGCAGCAGCAGCAGCAGCAACAGCAGCAGCAGCAACAGCAGCAGCAGCAACAGCAGCAGCAATTGTAGTATGCGTACCTCGCTGATGATGGCGTATAGGAGAGGATAGAGTTGTGTTTGCCATAGCTGGAGTACATGGGGTTGTAGAGGTCTAGCATCATTTTGTTGCTGTTGCTGCTGCTGTTGTTGCTGCTGCTGCTGCTGCTGCTGCTGCTGAGGATTTAATGTCTTATGTGCTGCTAGCAGCACAGCAGCAATTAAGAAGCCCGCCTGTTGTCTTGCATTATCATGAAAATGTGTCTTTAATACTTCTATTGCCTCGCATGTCCTATACATATAAATAAATAAATAAATAATTTATTTATTTATTTATTTATTTATTTATTTATTATTATATATAATTATAATAACAATAAATAGCAAACAACAGCCTATACAATGATGTATGCAACCCTCCCTAAGTCACGCTGCAACTGCAGCAGCAACTCCAGCAGCAACAGCAGCAGCAACAGCAACAGCAGCAGCAGCAGCAGCAGCAGGAGAGTCGTACTTTTGTAAGTATTTCATGCAATGCCCTCCGCAATTCTCCCACAGAGATCGAAGGCAGAAGGCAGCTGAATCTAACTCATCCAGATAGCCTGCAGCAGCAGCAGCAGCAGCAGCAGCAGCAGCAGCAGCATATAAAAAGAGACAGCCAGTTGGCCTCCGGCCTTGCCCTTAAAAAGAGAAGACCCTGTATTATTATGTATTATTGGGGCTGCATGCACATATGGATGCATGCACTCAATCACAAAAATGCACGCATGCATGCATTTTGGGGCTGCATGCATGCATGCATGCATGCATGCATGCATGCATACCATCTCTAATTTGTAGCTCTTTTCCTGCACCGTCTCCTTCGTCTCCACTGTCTCCTAAATCAAAATCATTTGTCTCCTCTCCTCCTACAAATCCTTCGCTACTAAATAAGGAAGCCAAGACACGAACCATTACGTCCTGTATAAATAAATAAATAAATAAATAAACAAATAAATAAATAAATATACATAGATAAATAAATATATATAGATAAATAAATAAACATAAATAAATAAACATAAATAAATGCAGCAGCAGCAGCAGCAGCAGCAGCAATAGCAAGAGAAGAAGTACCAGGATTGTACCTATGATGTTG